GAGGGACAGAGTGACCTGGGAACCCTGCTGGGTGCACCCTCTGTGACCCCAGGTTTCAGGCTCCAAGCCCCCCAGCAGGCTGATGTGGGATCCTGGCCACAGGGCAGATGTGCAGGGGCCCAGCCAGTCCAGGCAAACCCAAAGGGCCAGTCCCACCCAAAGGGCCAGTCCCACCCCAGGAAGCAGTCAGGGTGCTCCCATCACCGTGGAGGCAGAGCTGGGAACAGGATTTGGCCCAGCATTGGGAATGGCACAGCCCCAGCTGCTACAGGGGCACGGTCAGGGCTGAAATGRCCATGGCAGTGGACAGAGGGTTGGAAAGTTTCCATCCCAGGATGTATCCCCCATAGGAGACCCCAATTTTCCCCCCACAGCCCTGCGGTGCTCCAGGGCCAGCATCCTGCAGGGACAGGGGAGCACAGWGGGGAGTGTGGGAGGGCCCTGTCCCCATTCTGTAGGGTTCTGTAGGGTCACCTGCAGGGTGACACCACCTCCATCACCACCTCTGCAGGGCAAGGCAGAGACACCCAAAAATGTCTCTGAGTTGGTGCCCACAGTGAGCCCCTAGCCCACTCTGCAGAAGAGCACACAGGGAGGTGTTTGTAGCCAACCTCTCAAACTTAAAAAAAAAAATAAAAGCTTGATCATAAATAATGATTATGTCAATTGATGAATMATTTTTACTCCCTTTAGGTCTCAAGTCATATTTAATAGTGCCATAATTGTGGTGTGAAGAATCCCTTCCTCACTTGTTGTATGTTATTAAAATTGGAGCCAGTTAAAATTATCATTTTTTTTAGAAGGACAATCTAAATGACAGCCACCAGAATATAGAAAAAGCTCCTGATATTAAAAGGTTGTGATCAGSCCTTGTCTCCCCCACTCTTTCACACACACAAACCCCACAAACAGCAGTGCCCAAGTGTGCAAAGCTTTGTTTTCACAGCCCAAAACCCATAACACCAGAGTGACCTTTCACATAACACTTGTGGAACCTTTCACACTGAGCTCGGAGTCTTTCTCCRAGTGAAAATCACGCCTTTGAGGTCAGTCCAGACATGTCAAATGCAGGATTTGAGACTGAAAAGAAAAACGTCCGAGATAATAAAACACATACTTCTCCCTCCAGGGAGAATTTACAGAATTACTTTTACGATCAGAAATAATTTATTGATGGGAAATGAGATGCCAGTTAAGGAAATTCACCATCAGTCCCAATCATTTGTGAATGGCTCAGGACTCTCCAAGCACTTGGAATCCTGCAGCTCTACTCAGCAAGAGCCACACCAGATAGGGGCCAGAGTTTGGGTTTGTCAGGGGAAATGTTAATCAGGTCCTGAAGGTCCTTTAAACAGCCCGTGTTTTATGACAGGATGGGCTATGGCTGAACCCACTCCAGTCAACGCTCCTTCCATGGGGTGGAGAAGGAAATACTGATGTGTTTGCAGGCACTGGTGAGGTCAGAAGATCCTTCAGAGCCTGACCATGAGAAATGCCAAGTGAGTCCCACCAAGGCATGGGATCAGCCTGGTCAGTCCTTTCCTAAGAGGGCTGGAAAGCAAAAAAAGACTATTTAAGAAAAAAGACTATTTAAAAAGAAAGATTATTTAAAAAGAAAGAAGCAAAGGGCTCAAGATTGATGAGGTGGGCAGTAGCTCATATTTACATATCTGGGGCCTCCTTGACAGCAGAAAAAATAAGTTAGCCCAAAAAATAGGAATCTAATCTGCATTCACTTCCCAGCCTGTCAGAAGGGCTCGGTGCAATGCAGCCTCTCTTGGCTGCACCGGGGTGTCCCACCGAGGGACCCCACCAATAAATCTGTTCAATTTCCTGTTATGAGAAGTAGACAAAGAGCCACGACCAGGGATGGGCAGAGCTGTCTGCACAAGGGAAGAGCCTGTGCTCTCACCCCAAACCCCAACCCACCCTCTGYGAGGTTAGCAAAAGTTCAGTTCACTTTGGGGCTTTTTTTCCCGTTATTTCTCCTTTCCGTGCCTTCCCGTGGGAGCTGGAAGGAGACAGGACAAAGCATTTCTTTCCTGCTGGCAACGAGCAGCCCTGAAAGTGTCACAAAAAGTTTGCTCTGGAGAGCTTTCCAGTGCGAGGGTGTGAGCTTGCAGCCCCTCCAGATGTGAGTAATGCCATGACATTTTTAGTGGCTCTGTGGTTGGTGAGAATTTCTTGGCATTTCTCTCCAAGTGTTCTCTCTGCACCGCTCCTTTCTTGCTTCCTTCTCCCCTCCATCCAGTGCACTTCACACACACAGAAAAGGAAAGATTTCAGAGAAAAAAGCCTTTTTTCCCCCAAAGCCCTGAGGACCTGCACAATGGTGATGGCATTGCTGCTTGATGGGGTTCCTCTCGGGAGGTGACATCAGCACCCCAATCCCATTGTACCCATGGATGATCCTGATCCTGCAGCCTCTGGCCAAGACATGCTCCCTGGTATGAATTTTCCAGAAGCCCAGCAGGTCCACACCAACATTTGAAAGGGATTAGGGTGAATGTGGTAGCACTGCAATGTGTTTCGTGAAACACCCTTGCTTTGTGAAGGGATATTTTCAGAGTGCTGGGAATTCCCCCACAGCATCAGGAACCTCACTGGATCATCACAAACATTTCAAAACCTTTTCTGGAAACACGACCATGGATATAAATCTGTTCATTTGCATTTTTGCATGCTTTTTTTTTCTTTAGAGAGACCCAAGATCTATGAGAAGGAAACAGATTTTGACAAGATTGTGCGGGTGGAGTTGAGAAGCAAACACAAAATCCAGTGCACAGCCAGTGGGAATCCCGAGCCCAGGATCGAGTGGAAGTGGCAGCCCTGCAACCTCACAGGCACCCTGTAAGTGGCACCCCAGGGAGGAACCTGTCCCTGAGATGCTGGGGGGTTTTAAGGCAGGTTTTCTATCCCCTCCATCCTGTTTGTCTGAGCTCAAATCACAGGCAGAGGGAAGATCTCCAGGGCTCTGAGCCCAGCTCTGGCTGGGTTTGTGCACCCCGGGTATTACCTGAACTGTGTGAAATAAGCTTAAAGTGACTAAAAATCATTGAATTTTCTTTGCCTTGACCAGAAATGTCCCTCTGACTTTCCCAGACTTTTCCTTAGCCCTACTGAATGCTGTGAATGTGCTTGACAAAGGGAAAAAAAGGAAAACCAGCAGGATTTATGGGCAGAGCTCTCACACCTTTAGCCCTGCAAGCATTGCCAAGCAAACTTGCTGAAGGCTTGGCTTCCCTAAACCCACCTGGGATTCTCTTCCAAGGGCTGAGTACAGGCTCCTGTGGCAGCAGCTGTGTCCCAGTAGCTGGAGAAGGGAATTGTGCCTTATTGGGAGCCCCTCTGTGCTGGGGGCTAAGGTGTGAGCTCACAGCAGTCACTGAGGCAGAGCTGCCAGTGAGGAAGGAGGCCAAGAAAAGCATCGGAGGATTTGCCAACAGGAGACTTTGCCTTTGCTCCTGCAGTTCCCTGAGCACGGAGAGGCCTTGGATGAGCCCTGGGTGCTCCCCTGGTAGCCCCAGGGACCATGCAGGAGCCAGGTCCTGCACAATTCCCACCACTTCAGCTCCTCCCTGCCATGAAAGGGATGAGGCCAGGTTTTCCATCCATAACAAAAATGAAAACAGGTTTAGATAGCAACAGTGGATAGTTCCTTATTTTCTCACCCATTTATTKCTGGGAATGGCCAGCCAGGAGCCAGGGGAAGGCACAGAGAATTTCTTCCCCGGGTTCTCTGCTGCAGCACAGGGATKCTGGGTGATCCATTGGGCTGGGATGACCCTGTGTGCCTGCCCAAGGGAGGAATCCTGTGGTTACACCCTTCTGTGGGAACAAACAGAGATTTGGGGCTTGGTTGGCCCTGCAGGGCAGGAGGAGCACAGAGACTGCTGCCTGGGAGGGGCTCAGGAGGGGCACAGTRGGAACACCCCATGGAAACAGGTTCTGCATCCTCCAGGAAAGCCACAGACACGACCCCAAATCTTTTCCAGACCTTTCTGTCTGGGAGGAGAGAATTGCCCASGAGTGCCAAATTCAACCAGACCCAAAGCAGCGAGCTGCTGGCAAAGGACCTCACATAACCCTGCTGCAGCTCTGGGGCTCTCTGATCTTATCACTTGAAACACAATTGCAGAGTGGCTCAACCTCTGCTGGCCCCAGGGCCAGCCTTATCTTGCTGCAGCAGAAGCTGGAGGAGGATTCCTGTGGGAAATGACACAGCCCCCGTTTCCTCCTGTTGTCCAACTTCCTCTCTCTCTCTTTCTCTCCCCCACCGTGCCTCAGCAGTGCCCTTTGGATCCCTGAGCACCAGCATTGTTCCTCGGGGCTGGGTTGTGATTTACTTCCTCTRAGCTTTGTCCCCTCACACTCAGGACAGGATTGTGCCTCGCAGGAAGTCCCTCAAGACATCTCCTGACCAGGCTGGAGCTGTGCTCAGGGTGCTGCCCCTGCCTTGGCTTGGGTGCCTTTGSCTGATTTAGGGAGGAATTTTCTGCAGCATCAGCCCCTATAAAAGTCCATATCCATTTTACCTCCAGAAAACCCGTGGTGCACCAAGAGCCTTTGCATTTCTAGGAATGAGCAGAAATGTGTCTCTGCTTGGTTGTTTTTTTTGTTTTTTTTGGTTTTTTTTTTGAGTTAAGGAAGACAGGAAAGCCAGAAATCATCCCTGGCTGGTGCAGATGGATCATCCCACACGTTCTGCTCCCTACCCATACTCCAGRGTGAGGATTGGTAACTCTGCTGTGGAATGTGCAGCTTTAAAGGAGCCTTCTGCTCCTGTGTCCCAGTATTTACCCACTCTACTCCCTAAGCCCTCGCTTCCTGTTGGGAGCTGAGCCCAGACAGACCCTCAGCATCACCCACCTCCCCAGTCTGGAGTGACTGGCATTTGGAATTTGGAAATATAACCCMTATTAGCCTGATTAAACTCACATGATTTTATTAGCTGCCCGGTATTCCCCATTTTTGAGCTTTGGGACRTTTGAGGGGGTTCATTGCTGGTTGTGGGATGATCTTTGCTTGCCACAAGGAGCTTTGTGAATAATTTTGAAATGCCAGGTGGAGGAGTGGAGGAATTTCACAAACAGTTAACCGACTCCAGCAGCTTTTAGGACCTAAGACTATTGGTCCCAAGATTATTGTCTGAGATTTCCATTCTCYTGCCCCAATACACCTCCCTGCTTGAACACCACCTCTGCTCTTCTACCTCCAGGTGCAATCCCGAGGGGCAAAAAGTCATGGTTCAGGAGAACACAGTCCTAGGAGGAAACAGGATCAGGAGCATCAAGAGCAGCCCCATAAGGCACGGGGATAAAACCAAGGTATGGGTGGGGCGGGATGGGATGGGATGGGATGGGATGGGATGGGATGGGATGGGATGGGATGGGATCCATGGGATAGGATAGGATGATGTCAGGGGATGTCAGCCGTGGTTCCCAAGCTGCCGAGGGTTCCTCGCATGCCTGGAATTCCCCAGCACTGGGCTCATCTCTGACCCCTGCTGTTCCCAAATGCCGGCATGCTGGCAATGATGTCACACCCCCTGCTTCCAGCTCTCCCAAGGCTTTGGGGTCAAAACCCTCTGGGCCTCCCTCAGTCCTGAGAAAGTGTGAGAGCGGTTCAGAGTGAGAGGCGCTGAGACAGAAACGCTGAGAAGGGGCTCAGAGCACCTCGGAGCTCATGGGACACTTGGAGAGCTCCTGGTTCTGCCCCACCATGCCCTTCCCCTCTCTGCCCTTCCCCACTGTGCCCTTCCCCTCTCTGCCCTTCCCCACCCTGCCCTGCCCCACTGTGCCCTTCCCCTCTCTGCCCTTCCCCTCTTTGCCCTTCCCCTCTCTGCCCTTCCCCTCTCTGCCCTTCCCCACCATGCCCTGCCCCACTGTGCCCACTCCCAGCAGCAGGAGCTGACCCAGCGTGGCCATGGAGCCCTGCAGGGCCCCAGGTACCTGCTCTGATTTTCAGAACATGCTGGTCTCGGGCTGCCAGCCACCATCACTGGGACAAGGAAGGAGGGAAGAGCTTCCCCCTGCCTTTCCCTGCCTGCTGCCCCTCCCAGCAGCCCTGGGATCCYACTGCCCGTGTGAACTGCAGGGATCCCAGCCGGGAATGACCCATTCAGTGTCCCCAGGTGTGCCACTGGCTGATGTTCCACATGTCCATGCTGAGAATCTCCTGTKGATTCACACGCTTCTGGCCCTGCTGGGCTCCATCCCAGACCCTGGGATTCCCTGCAGGGCTTGGTGGCTCCAGGGGAGGATTTGCAGCTGCAGGTTTCAAGGTGGATGGTGCAGATGTGTGGGAAGGTCCATCTGCAYCAGCCAGGGATGATTTCTGGCTTTCCTGCCTCCCTTAACTCGGAAAAACTGAGTGAAGACACAGCTCTGCTCATTCCTAGAAATGCAGTGGCTCTGGTCYCACCACAGGGTTTCAGGAGGTAAAACCCTGTGAGGTGCTGGGTGCTCCAATCCTGCTTTAGTCCTGAGCACGGGATCATCCCTGAGTTACTCCCGTGCTTAAAGTCAAGCACAAAGCTAAAGTGCACTTCTGGACTGGCTCCAGACTAAACCAGCAGCTGGCAGGATCAGTGCCTCAGCTATCTGCTCYTTCTCAGGGAGACTTTCCAGTTCTACACATGATCCAAAGCTGAGCTCCGAAAACATGGGGCTTGGGCTGGGAAGGAGAAAATCAGTGTTCACCTCTCATTCCTGAGTTTTTCCWTKACTGGGAGATATTTAGAAATTGGAYTTATTTTGATGGCATAGTGGCCCTTAAGCTCTGGTTTTAATGTATTCTTCAAGAATTTTAGATCTTAGGTAAAAGCAACTCCCTACAAAGTGCTGATTATTTATAAAAATGGAGGTTGGTGACATTGACCTGCAGAAGTTCTTCTATTTCTAAGATTTTCTGTTTGCTGCATGGGCTGACAAGGGCTTAGACACTCTCAGGGCTACTGTTTCACTCCAGAAATATACACATAAATATATCTATATACAGTCTGTCTAAATTTAGGATCTGGTGTCCCAGAGCTGAGTTTAAGTCTTATGATCAGTTCTGTTATTCCCATATAGAAGAGAAGGRTTTCACAATTGCTGTGGCTCAAAAAATATCTGTTGGTTGCTGAATTGTGGCAACTGCTCCTCCCTGTGCCCTGCACAGCCACCTCTGCCCTTTCTGCACACTCCATGCATCCCCAAGGGTTCCTTTTTAGACACATCCTAAAGGGTTGTAGCCCAGCCTTTAACAGCCCTTTACCTTCAGCTTTCACATATTTCATGATTAAAGTTACCAGCTACATAATTTTACAATTTACAGTATATTCATGATTCTCTCTCACTGGCTGAAAACAGAGTCTGAGGTGTTTCCTATTACTTTGTGAGTGCTGATTAAGATTTATTCAAATTATATCACTGAATTATAGGAATCTCAGGTTTAGCACTTCCCTGCTTACATTAGCAGACAATTCCTCTCCTTCCTCCTTTCTGAAGTCCAAGGCTCTGTGTTAATTACATTATAAAATGTAATTTCTAACAAAGACACCCATGAAAAAGTCTTCAGACTTTTCCTTGGGTTTTATCAATCGTTATTGCTGCCGGGAGTGGAACAGACAGGAAACACCCTGATCCATTCCCACCACGTCCCAGCAAGAAATTCACCTACATGGACTGAGCAGATGAAAAAATAAMGATGTTGGAGCCTGAAATTTCAATGGGCTGTGTTAGGAACCTRGGATTTGCTGAGTTTGGGGGTTTTCCTGTGGGATTTGAGCCTGACCACCATGAACAGGAGGTGGAATTCACCTGGCTTTAGGATTTCTCAGCATCCCAAAGTTCACCCTTGGGAACTACAGCAATAAATGCTGGTCCAGCCACATGTGAAAACATTCATTAACTACTTGGAGCTACTAAAAATATGAGAATAACTCCCCTGGAATCACCAGATGCATAAACCCATCCAAAGCAAGCTGGCAGGGCAGCAAGCAGGGCTTTTCCTTTGGTTAACACTCCTTGATCTCATGAAGCTCCTCAGCCAGGAGTGCCATGTAAAACTGAGCTCTCTCTCATCATCCTCATCATGATCATCCCATGAGTATTCCACAGATAAAGTGAATTTCACCTCTTCCTGCCTTCTGAGAGCTGAGTCTCATTCCTCAGGAGAAGCACATGCCTATGAAGGAYGAGGTTATGATGGGCTTCCCTGAAGTTTTGCTCAGATTGTGGCTGAGGCAGCTGCACTGTGATAATTTCATTTTCCTGGTGGTTTTGTGAGTCCAGCTTTTCCCTTTGGGATTTAAAGCATGTTGTGGCTCCTCCCGATCCTCTTTTCCCCACCAGGTGGAATACCCAGGACTGACAGCAGGAATTGCCTGATTTTTCTAGGAGCTTGGTTGCTGTTTTATTTTCTTTTCTATTAGCAAAATAACAAAACTGGCCCGAGCTTGGGACCAGCAGAAGAGACTCATGCATAATTCAGGCCTCATTGGGAGGTTCTTTTCATCTCTTTTCTCCCTTTCATGTCTATGTGAGAGTGGCCGGGCCACGTGGGCGTTTCTGCTGGTGAAATTCACAACCACAAAAAAAGACCCTGACCCAAAAATGCCAAGTTTAGACCTCCTGCAGGAAGAAAAAAACAGCAGTGGGATGTGTGTGGTGAGCAGGGTGTGAGCAGGTGCTGGAATGTGTCACTTTGGGGACCTCCTCCAGCCATGCCAGGCTGTGCCCAGAGAGGGGGACGGTCCCACYGAGGGTTTGGGACACAGCAGCCACGCCCTGGGGAACCAGGAGCACATGGCACTGTCCTTGGTGGGGCTGGAGAGAGCCTGGCCAGCAGCAGGGACAGCAGGAGTGGCCCTTTGCCCTCGTCAATCCCTTCTCCACAGTCACTGAGGGGACAGCAGGRGTGCCAATCGCTCAGGACCAGGATTGCCCCACCCGCTCCAGGCCCAGAGAGTCACCAGTCCATCCACAGTACAGCTCCCCCAGTCCTGCCCAGTTCCCAGCCCAGCCCAGCCCCTTTCCTGAGCACCAGCTCTGCCCACTCTGAGGAAGGCTCTGCTTGCTCCCCCTTCCCATGGAGGGGAACACCCCTGCCCAGGATGGGAGCAAAGCTGGAAGTTCTCCGCCAGCTCTCAGCCTCCCATCGCTCACCATCAGCCCATCCTTTCGCATGTTTGGGGTGAATGAACCCAAAGCCTGGCTCGGGGCTGTCAGCCATGGAAACAAGTGTCACCRTGTGCCACTCAAGCAGATGGATCAGGAGTGAGCTGAGTGTTTTCTGGGCAGGGTCCCTGCTGAAGTTCCTCCAACCCCGCCTCCCTGCAGCCGCCTCCAGCCCAGCTCTGCCACAGGCAGACAGCTGAAAGTTTTCCACCCAYGTTTCCCACTCCTCGCCCACGGAGAGCTAACGAAGTGCAAGGGAAAGGATTGTTAACGAGAGCTCTTGGAGGGAGGGATTAGACAAAGGCAAGGGAAAGCAAAGGAGTAACGGGAGATATTAATTCAGCCTGGCCCCAGCTTGAGAAAAGGTCTTGTTGCTCTGTCCTTACTACAAGATGTCTTGAAACACTCACGGTACACGGCTGGGGAATGTTCTTTGGCTGCTGCTAAAATAACTTTATTTTATCAGTTCAGGAACATTACAGTGCAGGATAGACAGACTTTACTGAACTATTCCATCAGGAGTTTTCCCAGCAGCAAGCTCTATTTACTTAGCAGAGCTTCTCTTCAGAGATCAGTCATSGTATTCCTTTCCTTATTGAGTTTTAAAGTTCATTTATTCTTTCCTAGTAATTATTTATTAGCTAATAATCCCTTCTCTGGTGGTATTGCGGGGCCTTTGGGTTCAGCAATAGGAAATGGAGCCCAGAATTCCAAATGTAGCACAGACAATGCAGATTGAGCTGTGTGGGGTTTGGGATGCAGGGAGCTCCCAGGATCCCATCCAGCTSTCCTAGGAGGATGTCTAGACACAACATGCCAATAATTTGTTATTAATTAGCATTGTCCCAGTGCTGCCTGCACAGGAGCTGAGGGTGGGAYAGCTGGGGACAGCTGGGMACGTGTCACCACCCCTCACTGGGACAGGGATGGGAAGAGAAACTAGAAACTGCACATTTCCAGGCTGGAAATGGTTCATTACTGGCATTTTCAGGGCAGGGACACAGAGTTTTAAGGCAATTTCAGGTTTGACATCAGCATTGTTACTGAGGCTGAGCAGAGAGTGCTATACTCGGGGCTTTCTGAAGGCAGGAGAAGCAGCTTGGGGTGAGCCCTGCCCTGGATCGGGGAATCAGAGAGGGGTTTGGGGTGTGAGGGACTCACAGCAGCTCATCCAGTGCCACCCCTGCCATGKCAGGGACACCTCCCACTGTCCCAGGCTGCTCCCAGYCCCAATGTCCAGCCTGGCCTTGGRCACTGCCAGGGATCCAGGGGCAGCCACAGCTKCTCTGGGCACCCTGTRCCAGGGSCTSCCCACCCTCCCAGGGAACAATTCCTTCCCAATATCCCATCCATCCCTGCCCTCTGGCATTGGGAAGCCATTCCCTGTGTCCTGTCCCTCCATCCCTTGTCCCCAGTCCCTCTCCAGCTCTCCTGGAGCCCCTTTAGGCTCTGGGAGGGGCTCTGAGCTCTCCCTGGATCCTTCTCCTCTCCAGGTGAGCACCCCCAGCTCTCCCAGCCTGGCTCCAGAGGGACTCCAGCCCTGCAGCAGATCCATGGCATCCACTGGATTTTCTCCAACACGTCTCAAGCTTTTCTATNCTGGCTCTGATTCCAGGAGTGGAAAACCCTTCTCCAGGTTCAGGGACTGAGCACACAAAGGGATTATCCCTCAGAATGTTTCCACTGTCCCCTAAAGGTCCCTGGGTTTTGGAGCTGTGCCCCTGCAGGGAGCACACAGCAGCACAATTGATTGATTGATTGATTGATTGATTGATTGATTGATTGATTGATTGATTATACATCAGCGTGAAGGAAAGGCTGAGGCATAACGACTGCGAGGGATTCATCTCACTACAAGAAAATCACCCAAAATGCTGAACTGCCAGCTCTGAGATCACATGGAGATCTCTGCTGGGGGCTGTGGTTTAAAAGTGCCACTTTGGAGGGCTCTGGGAGATGCCAGCTCTGGGCCAAGGCAGGAAGGTGCCTCCTCTCTGGTACTCAGGTGTGTCACGAGCTGCTCTCCATGTGCTCAGCAATGATTTCAGCATCCAAACATCCTCCCCAATGGAGACAGGAGAGACTTTCAGCCTCCTAAAGATCTCTCCCAAAGCTCTAACCCTTATTTCCTCAGGAAAATGCCCTTCAAWGTGCACTTTTGGGAGGTASAGCTCAGATTTAAGAGGTCCCCAAGATGTCCAAGGCAGGATGAAGATGGGCATAATTTTACAGCTCCCCCTTTCCAAGTGTTGAATGTCCTGCTGGGAATTACTCTCTCTCTATTCCCCAGTAGATTTTTCCCCCAAGGATTTGTCCCCAGATTGTTTCCCACCATCAGTTACCATCCCTTTCTCCTCTACATCTAAACACAACTGAGATTAGCTCCGATGAGGTTGCAGGATTGCTATTTGCTCTTTCTTTGTGTGTTTTCCCACTGCCCTGCCAGACTTTTCCTGAGTTATGGAGCTGGAGATGTCAGCATCTGTCTGTGTGTGTGTGTGTGTGCTCAGCAGCATTTACCTCTGGGCCACCAAGCAGCTCGAGGCACTGCAGTGCTCACAAGAGCCACAGAGTCACTCCAAACACTTTGGACACTCTCCAAAGTGGATATTTGATGATTGTGACTGGCTCTGCAGCGTTATCCTCCACTTCCCAAGCAGAGCTGTCACTTAGCAAGACTAATTGCTGTTAAAAAGCTGTCCAGATTTATCCCCTTCTGTCCTCAGCACGTCCATTTGTGTTGGCTCTCGCTCTTCGCAGCCATAAAACCCTCATATCCAGCAGTGATGAGAAGAAAGGGCTTGGTCCTGGTTCAGCAGGAATCCCAAAGGCAGCGGCTGCTGCTCGGGGCTCTGTGCTCGTGCACAGCCCGTGGCACGGGGCCACCGCTCTGGGACAGCACCAGGAGGCTGCTTTTATAGCCAGCCTGCTTTTATAGCCAGGCCAGAGCAATTTTCACATCATAAATCACTCACAGCTGCTCAGCTCATGCTTTGCTGGACACCAGCACTGCCTTTGCCGCTCCACTTTTTCACCCTGAAATTTGGGGGTTCCCCCATTCTTGCGTTTGATACCCACAAAAAGGGGAGATTTTCCCCCCTCACCTGTTATTGAGCTGAAAATGCTCCTCATCAGAATGTCAAATGCACGTGGGATCAAAACCTCTGGAACTCATTTCCCTGCGGGATTTAAAACGACAGATCTCAGCAAATGTGAAATAACTCCAAAAATACATCCCACACAGCTCCAGACACACTCATGGGGCAGCTCGAGGAGSGCTAAAGGAATGTCTTGTGTGAGTTTAGTTTAGGATATTAAAAAGAAAGTCCAGAGATGCTTCTGTGCACTTCAAAGAGCTCTCTGGAGATAAGGACCAGAGGGTGTTACAGGTTTTGATTCTCAAAGGCCTTGGAGAGGACGGCAAAGAAAGCGATATTTGTTCCAAATGTRAGGGCTCAGAGCTCCTCAGGTGCACGGCTGCAGGGGAAGCAGAGCAATCCTGCAGCAACATCTCTGTCCTGGTGGCTCAGGCCCTGCTTTCCTGCTCTCAGGATGAAGGAATAATAGGAATAATTAAAGGCACAAAATGTGGATATTCGTGGGAGAGCCTGCGAGGCTGCCCCGTGACAGGACAGGGCAGTGCCACAGGGCTGGGCCTGGCCATGGGGAGCACAGGTTCCTCAGGACGCATCTGAGTTCAGCCCCAGGGGGAGGAGAACCACTTCTTTTCCAATGGTGAAGCTCAGCATAAGTTTTCCTTCCCCCTCCACGATCCTCCCTTTCTGCTTTTGCAGCTCCTGCAGAGCTTCCTCCSTTCCTGAAGGAGCCCTGCACAGCTCCAGGCAGGGCCATGGAATCAGGGGGCTCCCAGGCCCCAAGGGGCCCGTCCTTCCCTTCCTTCTCTGAGGAGAACAGCAGAATCCTGCAAAAATCCTGCAACAGCCTATACCACAGGCATGGGAATTACCTGCTTCCCATGAGAACGGGGATTCTCCCACAGCTGAAGAGCAGGGAAGAGGATGGGTGCATGTGGGGCTGCATTCAGGTGAATCCTCCAGCTTTTTGCTGATGTTGTCAAAGCCTTTGGCACTGTCTCGAAGGAGGACTCTGTTTTTCATGGATGAGACAGGAAAAAAAGGAAGGGGAAGGTTAGGAATGAGTAGGGAAGAAAATCAGCCGGGCTGAGATGATGAGAGACCGAAATTCAAACAGGAGCACCTTTCTGTCCATGACCTTCACCCTTATTAACCAGAAACAACTTGCTTAACAATTTTTCTACCGTAACACACTCTCTGCCAAGGCTACCCCACCCTCAGAGCCTTTCCCTGTTTTCTCTCACTTGGCAGATCGTGAGCACCCTCACCACGGAGAACAGCAGCGCCTCAGGAATCTTTTACTGCGTGGCCTCCAACAAGGTGGGCGAGGAGGAGCGCAGCGTCGAGTTCTATGTGTCAGGTGAGAAGCACAGAGCTGGTGCTCTGCTCCCCCTGAGTCTGACAGGGCTGCTGAGTGCTGGTTCCCACYCCTGACCACCCCAACCCCGCAGTGCCAGGCTCCTCACCCCACACAGGCTGGGCCAGCTCAGGTGGATGTCCCCAGCAYCAGACCCCATGTCCCTTCTGCCCTTCCCGGCTGCAGCTGCAGCCCCAAGTCCCTCTGTGTGTGTGTGTGTTAAAGCAACACTGGTGACATTTGAGCGCTGTCCTTGGAAACCTCTGAGGCCTTTGTGGTKTTCCAGAGGCCTCAGGAGAAGGGCTGGTGTCCAAGGAAGCCGGGCACAGCAAAGCTGAGCCAGGCCAGGATCTGCCCCCACACAGGGCTGGCAGCGCTGGGACACGGCAGCTCTGCCCTTAGTGCAGGGAGGAGCTCTCCAAAGAACACAAACCCAAACAAAWATCTCCTTAACCTTTCAGCACAGGAATTCTTGAGCAGTGAGATCAAGCTCTCCATCATGCTTTCAGCAGAGATGGCAGTTTCAAAAGAGAGGGGAGTCCAGGGACGGCCTTGTTCAAGTGCTCACCCAGAACAAACTGAAACATTTCTGTGCTCACTTTCTGGATGAGTGGATGTTGGCTGGCAGGATTTGCATCAAAATATCGATTTTTAGAACAAGGAGTGCAGAGGTGTCCTGGAAAGTAAATGTCTGATTCTCAGTGGCTGGTTCCTTGTCCCTGGGCTGGGAGGGCAGAGCTYGCTCATGGCTGGGATCTGCACTCCTCTCTGCCCTCCTGGGCTCTTGGATCAAAAGGAATCCAGCACCTTTAACATCCTAATACCCAAAAATGGGCTCACCACACTCTGCTCCTGCTGCGGTCACACCCAAGTGCCAACAGGACAAATGCCACCCAACAATAATGAAGGTGCTGCCATACAGGGACAGATTTCACCTCCATCAGAGCTCCTTTGTGCTGYCCCAACGGAGACAGTAGAGCTCCTAAAGATCTCTCCCAAAGCTCTAACCCTTATTTCCTCAGGAAAATGCCTTTCAAAGTGCACTTTTGGGAGGTAGAGCTCAGATWTAAGAGGTCCCCAAGATGTYCAAGRCACAYYGRRCAAGGTGCATTGGATTRTTTTGTGTCRATCCAGCCAAAGCAGGCTGAAGATGGACATAATTTCACACCTCCCCCATTCCAAGTTTTGAGTGTCCCCATGAGCTGGTCCTGCTGGGAATTCTGCCAGCTGAATGTTTGGGGGATGTTTGGGTGGGTTCCCYGCAGCTGTTTGTTCCCAAATGCCTCTCAGAGCTGCCACACTCTGTGACTAAACCCAAAGCTGCAGCAAAAAAATCAACCACGAGCATAAGGTCAGATCCAAAGGTTGGATCATCCCCTGCACCTTTCACAACTCTGGTTTATTTTAATAATAAATTTATGTAGGGGTTTTTTTTCCAYCCACGGTGAGCTCATATTTCAAATTTTTTATTTTAAGATCAATCTAGTGGTGCTTTGAGACACAAGTGTTGTAATCATGCGATTTTAATTACGAAGGAAATGAATCACTGGGTGAAATTACTGACAGAGGTTCTGGTGGGAATGTTTCTACCAAAGCAAACCATGAGGGGAATTGGGCTTGGCAAGACAGATTTATTCCAGGGAAGGGAAAACTGGGAGTCTGTACCATTCTGGGGAAGAGGCAGATGCTGACCGAGCATGACTGGCTTTTAGAAGTGCTGGATTTAAAAATAGTGGTGTTTATGGATTAGAAAGGAATGAAAACTTTCTAAATGTGGCCATCCTGATGCTAAAGTAGGTCATGCTGCAGCAGGAGAATGCAGCATTGACCTGTTCCTGGCTTCCTCCACCGGGGTCCTGTCTGGGTGCTGCTCCAGCAGGTCCAGGCTCTGGGGAGGGATCTGCAGGTGCTCACACCTGGAACAGCTGGAGCAGGMTCCAGGGTACCCTCCCCACGAGTGTCCTTCTGTCTCAGTGTTGAGGGACACTCAGGAAAGCCTGTGAGGATCCAAGCACAGGAAATCCAACAGCTCAAGGGTCTGAACTGGTCCCATTATGATTGTGAGGGGTTCATTCTGTGCAGTTGAACCCAAAGGCTGAGACTTCAGGACATTGGGGAAAGGTTTGCAGCACCCCAGAGCTCTCTGCAAAGCAGCTGCAGGTTGTGGCACCCCACAATTAACTCAGCAAGCTGTTGATTTTAGACCTGATCTCAACAAACAAGCTGCTGCTCCCTGAGTTGCTGTCAGACATTCTGTCTGAACTGAGCCTAACTCCCCTGTTCCTGGTGAGGAATCTGGAGATGCTGCAGGRGTTGAACTCCCTCAGAGCGCTGTCCCACGGGGCAGGGTTGAGGTGTTTGCCCAGGACAWGGCAGAGTGTTCCAGGGACACTTCCTCAGGTGTTGTCCCTGCTCTCTGGGGATGTGCTCACTTCACTCCTGTTTTCATCGCCACCACGTTCATTTCAGAAAAATTAATTTCTCCCAATGGAATAATTGTCAGCAACCATTTTGTTCTTCCACTGCAGAGCCCCCACACAAACTCCCACGGACACCAGGAATAGCACTGGGCTCTATTTTTAAATCATTTCTCTGCCAGCAGAGTTTTTTTCACGAAGGGTCAGTGGGGTTTGGAGATYACTCRGAATCCARACCTTATAAGGGGTCCAAYGTGCTGAGAACATCATCCTGCAGASACAGCCCCTCCTGCAGATGTCCTGCCTGTCACTGTCCCTCTGCAGCCCCCTGGAGTCTCTCCGAAAGGGATTTCTTATCCAAGGTGTTCTGGCCTAACTCCCATTCCAGGGTTTTTGTTTTGTGTCAGTCCAGCCCAGATCTGTCCCCAGCCTGCCTTTCCCACCACTGCTCTGACTCCAGAGCTCCCATCTGAGCCTTGGCTGAGCCATCAGCTGCTCAGAAATGTCACTGTCCCCCTCCAGCTCCAAAGGACATTCCAGGCAGGCTGTGGCCTCGCAGAGCAGTGAGAAGCTGTCCTGGTGTCTCCTGAATGATTCTCTGCCATGGATAAGTTATTTACCTTCTAATCTCTGCTCTGCACCTTGCAAAGGGCAGCTCTGCAGAGCTCGAGGTCCAGAGTAAATCAAATTCCAGCCTTTGTCTGACTGCACCGCATCCAGAGGAATGGGATCCCACCCAGCTGCAAACTCGGAATGTTCTGGGAATAGAAATGAATTATGATAAGGATAACAAATAATAACCAAAGCCCTTACTTGAAGGGTTTATCTGATTGCCAAAACAACTGAGAAAAATGGAGTTAAAGATTTCTGCCCGAAAGAAAATATTGCATTTCCACCAGGAGTTAAAAATCTGCTCTCAGATAGCAGAACAATGGATGAGCTGGGYTTTTGTAGGATTTAGTGCCACTCCAAAGTGCTCTTTCCCGGTGTGCTGACAGCATTCCTGACAAGCACCCCTGTCTCAGAGAGTGGGGCTCACCCTTCCCCATCCCCTGTTCCGATGGCAGCCCCCACCCCAGGCACGGGGCTGGGATTGGGCTGAGAGCAGGAATTTTCAATCACACAGATCATTGTGCAAAGCGCAGGAAATGAAAAACAATTAACTCCTTGTAAATACGAGCCAGAGCTGCCTTTGATTCGTGCTGCTTTTTTACCTTCCCCCAATGCCTCCTTTCCCTCTTTTGCCGCGGAATCCCGCACGACAGAGGGGGAAATTCGCAGCTACTGCACTGTAACACAACACCAAAGACAAATGTTTGGGGGCTGCTGATAAAAGGGAAAAGGCTCTGTGGTGCATTCTTTCAGCCAGCTCATGAGGAGCCTTCTAAAACACCAGATCTGCCCAGAGAAAAGGAGTGAGCACCGCTCAGCCTCAGGATTATGCAAGCAAAGTCTGAGAGATGAACTGACTGAGAATTTGCTCTCCAAACTGCACTCACTCCCCAGGTAATCCAGGCAGGAGGGGGAAAGAGACAGGAGAGCATGGAAAGAGAGAGCAGAGCAACTTATTTTTTTYCCCCTTCTCTCTTTTTCCTTCCACTGCAATGAAAATCAATGAATATTCTATTGGAGCTGAAAGAGCTGCTTGAAAGGCAAACAAGATGGGAGAGAATAGCACAGGTTCCAGCTAAAAATATTCAAAATGCTAAATAAAAAATGTCAGGAGAAGGAATGATAAGAAAAACAAGGCAGGCCTCTGCTCCCAGAATGTTAAGTTGGTAGGAAAAAAAAAAAAAAAAAAAAACCCTGGCAACTTTCAAGTCCAGCAGCAAAGCAAAACTGTGGAGCATCCTTCAGAACTCAGGGCTTGGGAATGGATACATCCCATCCATTGGGAATTTGCACCAAAATCACACACAGAATCACAGAATGAAGCAGGCTGGAAGAGACCTTCAAGATCATCAAGTCCAGCCCATGGCCCAACACCTCCTCATCACCTAAAYCACGGCACTGAGGGCCACACCCAGTCTGATTTTAGGTGACTCCACCACCTCCCTGGGCAGACCATTCCAGTGTGTGATCACCCTCACAATGAAGAATTTTTTTCTGATAACTAACCCAAGCTGTGCCATGCCCAAGGCAGTGCCTAATCCCAAAGAATGCAGCACTTCTCCCCTTTGAGAGATTCAGGAGAGATGGGAAATGCTGCTCCTGCCACATCTCACTGTTTTCAGTGCTCTCCATTGTCCCTTTAGAGGGGTTTTGGTGGCCTCAGCCATCCCCCCACGGTGCTCAGCAGCACTGGGAYATGCTGGCAGCACAGGACAGCGGGAGTGAGGAGGGGATGAGTTACACCAGGCAGCCTGAGCACACAGCTGGCACCAGGAGAGAGCAGCTGAGTCTCACTGCTCCCTGCAGAGACTAAACTGGGGTTCCAGCACAAGGAAAGAGGAGAAAAAGAACAATTCCCACAGCTGTGGCCTCAGGGGGGCTCTTCTCTTTCTGATCTTTTGTGAAGTATTCCTGGTGTCAGTCTTTAAAAACCGTGAAACAAAAGCTCATGGGTTCTACTCCAGATGACTCGTGGAGAGACTTTTAATCATCTCTGAGAGCTCCTCTGGGGCTCTGTATTTTATGGAATACATGGTTTATTATAGGGCAGATTGGTTATTTCAACAGCCYCACTATTTCTGCTCAACCAGAGTTTCTGCAGAGCCTTTTGCAGCAGGAGCCCCTGACTGGGTTCCATGTGGGATTTGCAGGTGGCAGGTGCAGAGCACGCTTGTTCTGCTCTCCCTTCTGTCCCTCTCAAAGCCATTTTATCCTGGTTTGAGAGGGCATCTCCCAGCAGCTTGGTACTGAATAATTGGTACTGAATAATTGGTACTGAATAATCTCTGAGACTGATTCTGAATAATCCCTGAGATTGGTACTGAATAATCCCTGAGATTGGTACCGAATAATCTCTGAGACTGGTACTGAATAATACCTGAGACTGGTACTGAATAATCTCTGAGATTGGTACTGAATAATCTCTGAGACTGGTACTGAATAATCCCTGAGATTTGTACTGAATAATCTCTGAGATTGGTACCGAATAATCTCTGAGACTGGTACTGAATAATACCTGAGACTGGTACTGAATAATGTCTGAGATTGGTACTGAATAATCTCTGAGACTGGTACTGAATAATATTTGAGATTGGTACTGAATAATCTCTGAGAGTTAGGGCAATATTCCTGTTCAGAAGGTGGCCCAGAGTGAGTCCCCTCAAGGTGTCCCTTCCCTGATAACAGTGATAAAAGGTTCCTCACAACTCTCAGCTGCTTCAAAATCCCAGTCTAACTGACAGCAGAGGAATTCCAGGTCACTGTGCTTATCCAGGCACTTTCTTTCAGGTGGACAGATCYCTTAAGTTAACAGAATCCAAAGGGAATAAAGTGTTTTCCAGCCCAAATTCACCTGCAGGTGTCTGGCAGCTACTGCAGGAATGCAGGCTCTGGCCTTCCACTCAGTTTTTTCTTGTTTTCAAATGGATTCAGTTCACCACTTCAAGAAAATTGCCNTTTTTTTTTTTTTTTTTTCCTGGAGTGAAAAGTCACTAAAAATGTATCAAGAAACAGCTCCTGGAGTGAAAAGTCACTAAAAATGTATCAAGAAACAGCTCACTCTTTCGTGGCTAGGTTGGAGTTATGACTCAGAGTATTCCTCTGCTAAATATAAGGACTAGGACATCATTGGATCAGTTAATCCATCAGTGGTCAAGTAAATATCCAGTGAGGCACGTGATGAAAATAAATATTGGCATAGCTGGAATAAGAGAGAATTGAGGAGACTCTTGAGTGGTGAAGAGGGTGCTGCTCCTAGGGGTCCGAATGGGTTTCTTCATTCCTCTGCAATTAATACTTTCAGCCCTGATTGCAGAGAGGGAAGAGCTCACAAACACATTTGTGTGCCTGGATAGAAAGAGCTCCTGATTAAACTCCCTCAGCCCATTAACTCCTTCTATTTATAAGCTTTCAGTCCATTAGTTGGAAATGGGATAGTTTAGAATCCTGAGGGCTGGACTAGCCCAGGTCAGCACTGGGCAGTGAGAGGGACCTTCCCTGCCCTAATTCCCAGCTCCAGTGCCTGTTCCCATATGCAAACATGTCCTCATTAACCTGGCCCCTTCCACTCCTGCTTGAAATGTGACCCCAAATAGCCACCAGCAGCCAAAGATCTTCTCAGGCGGGATTTCATTCCAATGCTGTTTCCCTTCCTTCYAGATGTGCCATCTGGGCTGCAAACAGCCCCGCAGGTCACAGCCATCGTGGGGAATGACGTGCAGCTGACCTGCCGGGCCTCCAGGTACATCTACACCCACCTGGGCTGGTTCTACCCCTCCTCAGAGCCGGCTCCCGGCCACTCAGTGCTCAGGAAAATGGGCAAATATTCCATCTCCGTGACTCTGCTGATCCCCAAYGTGACGAGGGAGCAGAGTGGGCTGTACAGATGCCGAGCCCAGAACCAGCACAACAGCACGGACACGCTGGAGCAGCGCTCCCGGCTCCTGGTCAGAGGTACGGGCAGGGGGACGGGTCCTGAGCCAAACTCTGTGTCCTGCTGCACTTTGATTTGTTATTTACTGTGTGGATAGACAGCTTGACATGCACAGCACTGCTGGGTTGGGATGAAATATTTGCCTCAGCCAGAAAGGTGATTTCAGCAGTGTTTCGTCTGCCCAGCTCCATGGTGGGTGCAGATTTAGAGCTGAGTGAGGACACCTGCCTTGGCACTGGCCTTGCTCTGCTCTCTGCATCCAGACACTTCTCTTTCCTCTCCTGTGGCAGATGTTCTTGTTCACTCAGAATTCAGTCAGATTTCCACCCCCACACACACCTACACAGCTCGGCTGTGGGAAAAACACAGCTACACTGGGAATGCCTCCGCAGAGAACTGGAATTGTGATCACGTTTTCTGAGGATGGCTGGGTCTGTTGTTTGTCTGGCACATGTCAGGCGATTCTTGTGGAGAGCACTCATGGAAATGCCCCTCCAAACCAGCCTTCATTCTCTTATTCAAACATTTTGTATCTTCTAATCCCCCTCATCCTCTTGCCTTAGTGCAGCTTCGGGGCACTTTTTACACTGTGCTTGTGATTTTATTCATTGCTGTTCTGCAGCTTTTATAAATGAACATAAAGTGGGGCTTACCATGGTTGTAGTAAGSAGAAAACTGCACTCCCAATGGAGGTCATCAAACCTTTAGAACTGCTTCCTCTTTGCCTCCTCCTTTCTYTTTTTTTGTCTTCACTCTGCATGTGCACCACCCACTCCTTGTCCCTCGTTTGCTTCAGGGGATGAGGAGTTGGAGCTGCAGCCAAACCTAAGCTTAGTCAGTGTGAAAATAAACCAAATAAACTCACCCACTCCTCCCAGAAACTGTGGGGGATTTCTGATCCACGATCAACCCAATCTTTGCCACATCCAGCCCAGAGAGGCCATGCAAGGAGGGGAGGGGGCCAAGGTGAGGGAGGTGCCTCCCCAAACCTGACTGGGGRCTCTTCTCCTTTGTGGCCGCAGCCAAGGCAGCGCCCTACGTGATCCAGAACCTGACRGACCTGGAGGTCAACATCAGCGGCAAGATCCTGCTGGAGTGCAAGGTCAGCGGCACCCCCGAGCCCCTGGTCACCTGGAGCAAGAACGGCTACCCCATCTCAGCTGCCTCAGGTGAGCTCCTGTCCCCAGAGCTGCGTGGGACCAGCAGGGTCACCATGGCAGGACCTGGGACTGACCATGACAGCAGGGCACACACACAAATCTGAGCATGGCAGAGCACTGCAGGGCCTTCGGCTTGAGGTGGAGGTCAGGGGAAGCTCCTGTGGGCACAGCCAGCCCAGCCCAYGTGAGCACAGCAAAGGAAATCAGAGAGCACTGCTCAGGCTGYTTGTGGGAGAGCAGAGTCTGGGTAAAAACTGAGCCACAGGGCGTGCCTGTGCCAGGTGGGCACAGAACTGAGCCACAGGGTGCGCCTGTCAGGTGGGTCTGGCACACAAGCTGAGCTCTCAGCTCTGCTGGTGACAATACAGCACAGCAGAGTCACCCAGCAGAGTGCCAGGCCATGGCACATCTCTCATTTCCCCAGCACAGCAGGGAATGTGCTCCCAGCTCTGTGGGGACACAGCCACCATGGGCAGGGGGTGGGGCCTCCTTGAGGAGCCTGGGACTCCTTCCCAGCTCTGTGCCACAGAATCCTGGAATCTCCTGAGCTGGAAGGACCCACAGGATCACCCAGTCCCACCCTGGCCCTGCACAGACCCCTCAACAATCCCAGCCTGTGCATCCCTGGCAGTGCTGTCCAAACGCTCCTGGAGCTCTGGCAGCCCCGGGGCTGTGCCCATTCCCTGGGGAGCCTGGGCAGTGCCAGCACCCTCTGGGGACAGAAGAACCTTTCCCTGATCTCCATCCCAAACCCCTGACACAACTCCAGCCATTCCCTGGGTCCTGTCCCTGCTCACGAGTGCAGAGATCAGAGCTGCCCCTCGGGAGGATGTCAGAGCCCTCAATGAGGTCTCCTCAGTCTCCTCTTCCCCAGCTGAACACACCGAGTGCCCGCAGCTGCTCCTCACACAGCTCCTCCAGACCCTTCCCACCCTCCTGCCTTCCTCTGCATGCCCTCCAATGGCTTCATGTCTATTTTATATTCTGGTGCCCAAAACTGCCCCCAGAACTCAAGGTGAGGCCGCCCCAGTGAGTCTCTCCTGAGTCTTGCCATAAATCATGGAGAATCCCATGTCAGCAGCCAGTCCTGTGACTTTAATTTTGCAGCTTGGACTAGGTAGGAAATCCAGGATCATCCATAATTCAGATCAGAATGTTCTGAGAGAAACTCTTTATAGCTACTGAAATTTTATAAATAATTCTAGAGGGACAAGCATGTAACTCATCCAACCAATGGAAACATAAATAAAATATTCGGAAAAAACACCTCAGGGTAAATATTTCAGCACAGTGCATGGCAAGTTGTGTGCAGTACTCTTGTTAACAACAATGGGATTCACAGGCAGAACATCCAGAAATGCAAAATTTTGGATTCCAAGCCTGACCCGTTTCCCTATTTCTACCCCAATCATCCCCTCAGTGAAACAGGAGCTCTTGGTGCAGTGCCACAAATCAGGRAAAATTAAATTGGGAAAATTCAATGGAGGGAAGTACTCTCATAGGTGATATCTAGACAGCCTCTTCTCTTCCCACTYCACCTCCAGCCCCTTGCCTGTGAATCCAGGATTGCTCCACACAGTTCTTTTTCCARGGACATTCCACATGTTGGAAGTCCCATCCCTTCCCACAGCCCCCAACAATTCTACCAAGTTCCCATCTTTCCCAGTGCATCTTCTCACCATCAGACAACCAATCCTCCCATCCCTTCACTGACTTCAGAGAATTCCAGGCTCTGCCCACTCTAAATTAACAACCATATTGCTGTGGGTTAAATAATTCCCAAGCCATTTATTCAGGTGTTGAAGAGAAAATATAAGTCAGGGAAAGGTTGTTGCCGGAGAACAACGAGCAGCATAGGATTAAATGCCCCCTGAAACCAGCATTGGCACGGATGGGAGCTGACCTTCAGCCCTCTGTCTCCTAAAAMCTTTTTTGGCAGGGAGGTTAATATGACAGCATTAACCAAAATGCCTYAAAACAGGAATTTCCATGGAAAACAACACCCTGGTCATYGAGAGAGTGAAGAAGGATGACGAGGGGCTCTACGAGTGCCGGGCCTCCAACGACTTGGGCCAGGACAGCACATCAGCCTTCATCAAAATCCAAGGTGAGGGAGTGCAGACATTTCAGAGAGCTCAGCCAGGGCCTCTGGACACGTTCCCAGTTTGGCTGTACATCCTGCTGCAGGTTCTGAGGAGAAATCCAACATCGAGGTGATCATCCTGGTGTGCACCGGGCTGGCTGCCACGCTCTTCTGGCTCCTGCTGACCCTCTTCATCCGCAAACTGAGGAAGGTGAGAGAGCTGYCCCCCTGCACAAAGCCTGGCATCTGCCTCAGCTCGGGGTCACAGCGGGGTTTGGGACACAGGGTTGAAACACTGGGAAAAACGTCCCTGTGAAATTCAGTCTGRGGTTTGTGTTGACTTTTCCAGAGATTCCTTGCACTTTGTGGTTCCCATCCACTTCTGTGGAACCATAAAATCAGATTCCTCCCTCTTTATGAGTCAGACTGGCTTGTGAGAATAACAAAAAAATACCCTAAATCCTCTAAAATGAGGCTTGATTTCAGCACTTGTCTCTAAAATATATTAAAGAAAGATCCCAGGCTGTCTGCTCTTGGAATGAGCTCAAACCACACAGCTGATTTTGTCTCCAAGCTTTGCTCTTTTTTCACCTCCCTTTGGTGACTCAAAAGAGTAAACTTGCAGTGAAATTCCGAGGAATTTGGGCCTGTATTCCCTGAAACAAACAGCAAACAGAAAAGCCAGCCCAGCTCTTTGCTCTGCTCTCACCAAGCCGCAGTCCCAGTGCTGTTCTCCAATATTTGAGTAAAATTTCCTCTCCTCTTGCAAACACAGGGATTAAATCCACATTTTCCTGTTTGACCTCAGTTTAACAGAGCTGTGGGCAACACTGAATTTCCTCTTACGCTTCTTGCACACCTGTGCAAGGCTGCTCACAGGACCCATCCAGTCACAATTTCTCACTTTAGCAACATCAGATGTAGCTATTCCCTGCACTTTTAAATTGCAGTAAGTTGTAGCCATGAACTGGGAGCCAGTGGAGAGTCAAGGCTGCAGGACAAAACACGGTGAAAATACCAAAATGTGCCCCTGGCAGCGCAGCTCCAGGAGTTGCCATGGAAAGGCAGTGATTTTTGGCTGCTCCAGGTGGAAAGCAGCGATAAATTCTGTGTCCTCGGTGTTTCCCTGTGTCAATCAGTGCCTCTCCAAGAGCCATGGAGGCAGCCATACACCAACATTTGTGTCTCAGATGGGGAACAGAGGGAGGAAGCTGCAGGGAGGCATTCCTGGCTCTGAATAAATTTGCCTGGAAGGCAGGAACCCCCCAGGCTGCCGACAGCTCCCTCCCTCTGGAACTGCAGCAGAAACACSCGCAATAATTTGTGCACACCCTGTTTTTAGCCCGATGCCACCGATATTAAGACAGGATACCTGTCCATCATCATGGATCCCGAGGAGATGCCTCTGGAYGAGCAGTGTGACCGCCTGCCCTACGACAGCAGCAAATGGGAGTTCCCCAGGGACAGGCTGCGCCTGGGTGAGTGCTTTGGGGTCACACATGGGGGGAGGAGGATTCCAAACGCTTCCCAACGCCAGTGGATCTGCTGGATAACCCAGGGAGAGCTGTCACAGTGCCAGGGTACTGCCACCTGCGGATTGAGGGTCCAAGAAATCAGATCAGAGGGTGAAACGAGGGATTTGGAAAGACCCTGTCAAAATAGCCACCACCTCTTTTCCTTGGAAAAGGGAAGCCAAGCTCTTGACAGGGAAGGAAGGCACCTCCAGGTACCAGCCCTGCCAAAAGTGTGATTCCATTCCCAGAGAGGAAAAGGGAATTTTCTTTTGAAGAAATCTATCAATTCATCCAATCATCACTTCCTTATCAACCAGCAGAACTCAGCTTTGAGCTGTAAAGAGCTCTCATGGAAAAATGAGGCACGTTTCACTGAACAGCTCCATTGGTTGGCTGATGGAGTAAGGGAATGTGAAAAGCTGGCTGTGTKTGTACAGTGAAACTGAAACATCTGTGTGCACTGAGGAGTGCAGGGAAAATATCCGTGCTTGTGTGTGCTCTCAGTGCTGCAGCTGGAAAACACGGAAGAAGGAGGCAGACAGACAAAAATCCCAAAATCTGACATGAGGGTGAGGCACAGAGTCAAACTGGCAGAACCAAAGAGCCAGACTCAGAGCCCTGAGAGCACACCAGGTAACACAGGAAAGGGAATATAAAGAARGGTTATCATCTTAAATTCCATTTAATGCAGCTTTTCCATCAAATCAGTGTYAATAACTGAAGGTTTAAAGGGTTGTGACTCCCTGAGTGCTCTGCTGGCTCTCTCTGTGATTTATGAGACCAGGGCACCACAATTCACCCAAACTCTGGCTTTGCTAAGCTCCAGAACAGCCCCAGGTAATGTTTCTCCCCTCAGGTGAGGTGCAGGTGTCAGCCCTGCCTTCAGTGAGCACWGACTGATTTATCCCCCTGATTTATCCTGTTCTCTGCCGTGCTGTATCGCATCCAGGCCATATGGATCCAGCCCAGGATATCCATATGGGATGGGATCTGGGTCTCTGTGACTGTCTGTGCCTGTGTCCTGCCTGGTTCCCTTGCACAGCTGGGCTTGCATGTCCCCTCCTGGCTGTCCCAGCCTGCCCACGTCCCCTGGGCTCACTCTTGACTCTTGCTTCTCTAGGTAAAACACTGGGTCATGGTGCTTTTGGGAAGGTGGTGGAGGCGTCTGCTTTTGGCATTGATAAATCTTCAACCTGCAAAACAGTGGCCGTAAAAATGCTGAAAGGTACAGCCATCCCCTGAAATCCTCCCTCCCCGGAGAGCTCAGGGACCCTGGGGCAGGGAGCTTTGCTCAGGGACCTGGAGGGCTCAGGGACCAGGGACAGGGAGGTTTGCTCAGGGATCCCGGGGCAGGGAGGTTTGCTCAGGGATCCTGGGGCAGGGAGATTTGCTCAGGGATCCTGGGGCAGGGAGATTTGCTCAGGGATCCCGGGGCAGGGAGATTTGCTCAGGGATCCCGGGGCAGGGAGATTTGCTCAGCTCCCAGGCAGTGCCAGGCTCACCGGGCTCAGGAGGGAGTGTGTTCCATGTAGGAGCAATCCTGTAAGGATGGAGGGAAGGGGAGGGAATGACAAGCAGGTTCCCTGCTGCTGATGAAGCTTTGTGCTCCTTGAGGAAGCAACCAGCAGCTTCCAGGTCTGTGGGGTGAGATTCCAGAATGGAATTCCTTGGGATAGCCTGGAACTGGAGCTGAGCCCTCCCTGGCAGAGCAGTGCGAGGGACTGGGCAAAGCCCAGAGCCAGGGGAGCGAATTACAGACATCCTGATTGCAATTAGTGAAAGGAGAGAAAGATTTCCCCCTCGGGGGTGGGTGGGAAGGAGGGAGCTGGGAGCTGGTCCTTCCTCCCATGCTGGATTTACACCCAGAGCCGCTGCAGGGAATGGATGCAGCAGCCACGCTGGGCAGGGCTGCTCACTGCTCCTCAGGTGATTCCAGAAGCTCAGGCCATGCTCCCACTGCAGGGCTGGTCACTGCTCCTCAGATGATTCCAGAAGCTCAGGCCATGCTCCCAGGGCTTCATCCATCGCTGCTGCATGACACCTTAACCCCTGCAATGCCACCAGCCAGCCACTGCTGCCACGGCATTTGGCTTCTGTCACCACCGGCTGCCTCTCCTGGTGCTCTGCTCCTCCCATCTCTSAGAAATCTCAGAAGCACCCATTTATCACCTCTCTGCACCTCCTGCAGGTCTGGCCTGCCCTCTCTGTTTCCATCCCTCAGCTCACCTTCTCTCCTGCTGTTGTATCTTCTGTTCCATGCCCATCTTCACATCCCTGGGATATCCTAGAAGCCCCTGATGCAAACACATTCCCATCTCCATCCCAAACTCACTGCCCAGGCCAGCTCTGGGGTTTCATTCCCTTTCATGCTGTGCTTCCCAGCTGATCCTTATGCCAGCACATCCTCAGCAATATTTGGCAGGTTCTCCATCATTTTACACCTCCCTCCCCCAGCGGAGGCAGCTGCCTCCCTCTGGTCTGCCCCTCCCCARCTAACGTGCCCATAATTCATCATTTTCATGAATAAAGCAGATTTTCCATTATCACTCAATCCATTAGGGAATTCAAAAGGCTCTGGAGCATTTCTGCCATGCCAGCACTGTGTGTCATTTCCATGCAGTGGGCTGGGATCTGCTCTGGATTGAAGGCTGAAATTCAGTGTKCAGGATGATCTGAGACACTTGTGAGGCTGGCTGTGTGAAAATCAGGGGAAATCAGGACACTCCCAGCTCCAYACACTGCTGACTGAAGGAATCTTGCAATAGCTCCTTATTTATGACACAGTTTGGAGAAAAATTGCAGGCAATTCTACAAACAGATCAAGAGGTTACACCCGTCACACCAAATCAGCTGTTGTGTAAACTTTYCTTCATATTTAAATCTCACATGATGCAAAGGAAACAGGACAAAGACTCTCCTGTTAAAATACATCATCAAAGTTTTGGAGAGAAAGCTGGGAAGGTAGAGCAGCCCCTGAAGAACCTTCTGGTCTGAGGGTGCCTGATTTAAATCAGCATCACTGGCCAGCCAGGGCTTCCCTGTCAGGTTCAGACATTGGAAAATGCATTTCTGGGTCAGTAAGACCTTATAGGGTTGAGCTTTAGTAATGCTGAGCATTCCCTGGCACATTTGGGGACACAGCCTCCAGATCTGTGGGTTCCCCATCACCTGCAGTGGTGAGTGCTCGGTGCTGTGGAAAAACCTGTTCTGAGGTATTGTAACCAAGCTCTGCTAAACTGCACAGCCCAGCAGACAGAAAGGGACACAATTTTTGTGCTGTGGGGGCTTGCAGAGGCTGGCTTTGCTGAGCTTGCAAAACTGAGTCCTGGCAAAGGCTCTCTGGGATCAGATTTGGGGGAAGGGACAGTCACCCTCCACAACCCACACTGGAGAAAGGAAGAGTCACCCAAAGATAAAGTGTTATCCCACTTCATAAAGGTCAGCAGACAATGAAACGGATGAATTATTATCGGGGTGAGAGGCTGAAAAGGCAAGATACTGCAAGGAACCTGGGTGGGTTTTGTTTCAAAGTATAAACAGGATCTTGCTGTGTCCTGTTAAAAATATCCTGTTGTGTAAAGATGATTTTTTTCCTGTTTATCTTAAGCAGAATGTGCAACTACTAAYGAATGCAAGGCTTTAATGTCTGAGCTGAAGATCCTCATCCATATAGGACATCACCTGAACGTGGTCAACCTGCTGGGAGCCTGCACCAAAGCTGGAGGTGAGGAATCCTCAGTAAATCAGGAGCAGGAAACATGCACTTTTCAGAGAGTTTRGGGGTGTTTGGATGTGCCTGTGGTGCAAGAGTAAATGCCAGAGATTTCCATGATTTCACTGCATTGAGAAGCAATAAGTTCTGCAATTTGCTGGTTTTCAGTTTCCATATTGCACCACATCAAGACTTCCAAAAGCAGRATCTTTAAACCAGGCCACCACTGCAGTGGCCTGAAGTTCCAGGTGGTTGGGCACAGTGAATTCTTCAGTGCCAGCTGAGCTGGAGATGCAGCAGCTCAAACCAAGGATTCTCTGCTCTTTGGCTCAATGAATGCTCTGCTCACAGGACAGCTTCAGCTGTTCCTGCAGGATGGAGCCCCACCCCTTCCAGGGCTCCTGAACTGTCCCATTTGGCGTCACTTCCCTGTTTTCTCTGTTGCCAGGAGGGTTTGTGCCCTGAAGGCAGGAACACACGGGCACTGTGGACTGCTCATTCCCAGGTTTCTCCTCCCTCTCCTYCCCCACCTTATCAGGAGGATGCACCAGGCTCCCAGAGCCTCATCCTTTCCCAGCCCTTCACCCTCTCCAGGCAAAGCCAGCAGTTCCTGCTCCATGGGCAGGAAGCCTGGGGCTGCCCTGGATGCAGCAGGAGCAGGGATTTTCACGGGGCTGAGCTGGCAGGAGTGGCTCTGCATCACAAAAACAGAGAGGGCCCCATAAATCTGGACCTTTGCCCCTAAAACATCCCTTCCCATACTGCCAGGCAGAGCATCCGTGTCTCTTATGGAGCTTTAACTTCAGGGGAASAGCTCTCGAGGATGGCTCTTCCCTGCTGACCTTCAAAGCCTTCAAAACCACCCCAAAGGACAGATTCAGGTGATCTGAGGACAAGGAAAACCCCAGAGTGAAACAAATGAAGGGGGAAATGTGAAAGAGGTAGTGCACTTAGCTGAGACCCCAAAGCCATCAGTTTCCCAAAGCTGTTGTCCAGTCACAGGGGAAAAGGAAACCTTCAGTGAGGTGGATGTTATGGGACACCAGGGCAGAAATCTCCCCTCCAGCAAGGTGGGTCAGTTCCTCAGGAWACAGCAACCAGCAGCTGTGGATACTGCTGGAATCTGGGAGCCTGTTTTGACCATCATGGAGCACGATATCTTTCAATCCCTTATCTAAAACCAATAAATCCTTGTGATAATTAGGTTTTTTTGCTTGCCCCTCTGCCTCTCCTGGGTACTTTGGCATTCAGCCAGCACTCAAACCATGACAGAAACTCCCAGGAATTGTAGCACTCCARACCCCAAAAGCTTGTATGGCAGCATGGGCAGCTCCAGCTGGAGGGGTTTGGGGTTCAGATGCAGGAGCCAGGAGCCTTTGCTCAGGACTGTGAGCAGAGGGGCAGAAACACTGGGAATTCTGGTGATTCTCCTGTRCTCCCAAGTCCCCAGGGTGGCTCAGGACCAACAGGTGCCTCAGGCCTGGCAGCAAGACCAGGGGTCAGGAGCTCTTAACCAGAACAGCCCCAGAGCTCTGCTTGCACAGCAAGAGACACCTCAGGAACTGATCAAAGGCTCTCTTGTCTGATTTCTGGGAAACATTTTCACCCTGGAGCCCCCCCAGTTCCCATTCTCTACCCTGCTCCATCCTGGTAGAGGAAGCCCTCTCTCCTCCCTGCCAGGTGCTGGGGGTGCCCTTGGGGAGCAGAGGGGTGCAGCAGCACCTCACAGGGCAGGCACTGCTTTGTTTTCCTCTGAGCAGTGCAAGAGCAGACTGAAGGAAAACAGCCTTGAGCTCCAGAGGCACCGCGGAGCCGAGTTCCTGTGTAATCCCAGTGCAGAGCAGGCGCTGTCCCCTCCCATCAGCCTTTATGTAACCCTGTATTCCTGATGGAGGATATTCAGGATGCACATACATTATTGGAACAAGGGAGCAGATCACAGATTTGAACACTTTGGCGCAGTGTCTGATGTTCAGAACTAATGCACGGGGTGTGCTTTACAATGAGGGAACAGAGTATGGGGATCCATGCCTGGGAAGGCTTTCAAACCCAGGAATGAATCACTGAGCAGAGCTTTAAATGCAGTTCTGGAATCTACATTTCCTCAGGGCATCCATGAGGAATGTTGGATTCGGGGTTCTTCGGAGCCAAATCTCTTGAGCATGGTCAGGTGCTGGCATTGGGGCCTTGAGCCCTGCTGGGCAGAGCTGCGGGGTCAGCACTGGAATACTGGGATTGGGGATTGGTGTTTTTGCAGCCAGTTGGAGGTGGCAGGCAGAGGGGCTGGGGGATCCTGGTGAGCCCCAAGGTGRGCACTCAGGGGGTCAGTGCCCCGGGGCTGGGGTGAGCCCAGAGCCAGGCAGGAATGCACAGGGAGCACCACGGGCTTGATTTTGAGTGCAGGAGTTCACCGTCTCCCTTCAATGGGACCCTGTGTTCCCAAAGGTGCCCCTGTCCCTGTCTCAGGCTGTCCCAGGGTCACTGTCCCCCCTGGCAGCTCTCTCTGGCACTGCTGATGGCMCCCAAAGGTGCCCCTGTCCCCATGCCAGGCTGTCCCAGGGTCACTGTCCCCCCTGGCAGCTCTCTCTGGCACTGCTGATGGCACCCAAAGGTGCCCCTGTCCCCATGCCAGGCTGTCCCAGGGTCACTGTCCCCCCTGGCTGTTCTCTTTGCACTGCAGGACATGGAACCCCTCCAGCCCCGCTGCTGTGCCCGGGAGGATGCAGAGCCCACAATCCTGCTCAGCTCCTGCCCCAAGGCCAAGTGCAGCTCTCAGYGCTTTCCCTTTGAAGTTCAAACTCCTGAGCCTGAACCACAGACCTTCTCCAGAGAAAAAGGCTCTGGACATGAAAGTCTCACTGTTTGGGATTGATATTAATCCGTGTTTATCCCCTTCCCAGTCCCATGAATTCACCTAACTCACATTTGATGATTACAAAAAAACAAAGGTCCAGAACGCAGCTTTTCCTTTCCCTAACATCTCACACTGCAATATAAAATCATTTCAAGCAGATCTTAAAAAAAAAAAAAAACAACAAACCCTGCATAAATGTAGGAAAGTAGCACTGAATCTGCAGTGTTTTGCACAGGAGTAAGGAAGAAACTGAGAGCACTTTCCAGGCTTTCAAAAACTTTCTGCAGCTTTTGATTTAGATCTGTCTATGGCCCCGCATACTTTGATTTCCTCTAGTGSCACCAGCTCCACCCAAAACAAACAATTGTGAAGCCAGCAGAGAAAATGAAAAATTGTTCCATGCTATGGACAGAGCAAACCAAACTTAACAGCATTTGGGATTGCATTGATCATCCTGAATTTTCCTGGTTTAGAAATAAGGAATAAATACCAATTGCTCTCATCTCATGGGGAAAACTAAAAATGTTTTCTCTTCTCTCCACATTCCTACTGCTTGTGTCCTTCTGGAGTGTCACTCCTCTGTTTCCTCATTTCCTCATCTGTACAACAGGAATGTCACTTATTTTGAAGAGGATTTGGGAGGATAAATCAGAATTACGTGCTTTGCAGTGCTTCAAAACTCATTTGACTTTCACTGTCTTTTTTAGGTCCTTTAATGGTCATAGTGGAATACTGCAAATATGGAAATCTGTCCAACTATCTAAGAGGGAAACGAGGGGATTTCATTGCATACAAGGTAAGAAAATGAGAGTTTTCATAGTCATGAGGGAGGGAATCAACAACCACTGACAAAAGCTGGATTTTCTCTGCATTGGCACTGAGGCAGCTGGGTATTTCTATGGGCAATTTGTTTAATTTATTTTCTCAAGGCAAGAAAAGGGATTTTTTTTTTCCCTGCAGGATCTCGCTGCCATCGTGTTGTCGCACCTCCCAAAGAATCAGTGCAAGTACCCAAACACTGCAGGGCACTTGAGAGATAGGAGATGATCTATGAGAATTCCCAGCACAAAGGGGGCAGCAAAGCAGTGGTGAAAAACTGAACWAGGGGAAGGTGAACCCTCCCAAAATGCCAGGCTGCTTTGGGGGTTTTTATTTCTAGGSCCACCCCCCAGGTGGAGGCAGCAGATCCTTCCCCCACTGCTCATTCCCACCCTATTTRTCCCTTCCC